GGGGGCATATAGTACGCATGAAACAGGAAAATCACGAAAAATCAACCACCACTCCTAGAAAAGCCAGAAAGTAAATACGACCTCCCTCCCTCCCAAAAAATGACCAAGTACGACCCCCCCCCTTACAACGTCCATGAAGCGAGAAAAATCAACTATCAAAATAAATTTTTCCCAACCCAAATACGACCCCCCCTCTCCTGGCGGCCAAATACGACCCCCTATTGGGATTCCCCAACAACGATGTGCCCTGTTTTCACATCAGGAATAGGAAGTTATAAATACCTGCTTGAATGCTCTACTTAATGTGAGATCGTAGAGATAACTGCGCAGCTTGGCGCTTTCTGGTGGTTTAGGGGGTACATGGAGAGGCTGAGCCATCTTCAACCTCGCTTTCAAATCGTGCCAACGTCGTTGGTCAACGGTAAGGAGAGCGGTGCCCTAAAATGATTATCCGCGTACGAGTAAAATTAGTGAAGGTAGGTAACTATTCCATAACTTACTCTGTTTTCAGTGTAATTCGCGACAACGACACCCACAAACAGCGTCAGTCCGATCATGCATCCAATGAAAACGTAGATGTGAATGAATAGCACGGCCCACTGAAAAGAAACAGTGAGACAATAGAGGGGTGGAATGCAGAGAACCAGTTTTTTGATTAGGAAAGTTTTCTTAGTATCCTACTTATTGAGAACTAATTGGCTTTCAATTTTTGGATCACTACTTTCAAGCAGATATGTCTGAGTACATGGTGGTAAAGCAGGTTGTGAAAAGGTCGAATAAAGGAAGATTGGGGTGTTTTCATGGAGTTGATAGGGGTTAGTGGGCCAAACTCCTCCGTTGTACCTCCTTTCTCCAGATTTGGGTGAATTATTTTCAGAACATACCGGTCCCTGACGAAGATAGAGAATATCCCGAATCACATTCCAGCCTTTATAGGACAACGTCTCAAATAGCGCCAACATCGCATTTCCAATATGGTCAAAGTTGAAATTGCGAGGATTTGTCCTGAAATTCAAGCCTTTCATATCAACGGTTCGACAACAGGTTTACAGTATTTGCATGATTTATTTTTCCATACCCTCAGAGAAACAGTTAACGTCGATTGCTTGGACGGAGGTGGCCGACCACTGTGTTTTCCTCAGTGTCCTACTCTTTTACTTACCATAGAACAATCACGAAACAACAGGGAGCAGGTTACAATAGTCAACCGTCTCCGCCCCGAGAAGTAATTGGTCGTCGGTTAGACGACCTATCAGGGTGCAGTTCGGCAACGGGGGTGGGGTATTTTCACTTCCGCTGCTTATCATTGTCTTGTCGAGCTATCAAGCAGAGACTTGTGAAATCTTGTGTAGTTATGATTAGTGAAAGTCTGCAGAAATTACTTGCCAGCTCTTGTGAACAATACCTGTCAACTCATGTAAAGCAGTGAACATGACAATGGGAAGCAGGGAACGTACAAAATGCCTCCCCCCCCCCCTTCCCGTCGAACTGCGTCCCATTTAGTTACGACACTCGCTATCGCTGGGGTCACTCGGTTCACGTCGGGCGGGGGGGTGGCGGACAGTAGGCAGCCAGAGTGTAACATTTGCGCGGACACCCCATAACCAGCATTTGCTGAATTCCAAGCCACAAACGACACTTGAGAAGAGCAGACCCCACTACAAGACTCCCGCGCTGACGCACTCCAGTTGGTACTGATAATAACTGCAAGCTCGGATAGAACTAGAGTCGTACAGTGTGGATGGCAAGGAAGAGAATAGTGCTCCCTCTTAGGACCCCTTTGTCGTACAACTTATTTCACAGTAACTACAGAAATTTGAACTGTTCTTGTTAACAGTAAGCAGATTAGGTCAATCGGCAGCGAAATTAGGAATAATCCTTCGGTTCTTCAATTCTTCAACCCGGTGTTCTTGTTCTTGACGCTTTGCTATTTGTTAAGACATCCTAGAAAATTTCAAACTCACCACACTCTCGGAACGAGAATTTTCGGGTGCAGTTTGTCGTCGTTCTTGCCATATACTTCCATTCTGGTAACAAAAATCTTCTGCTCAAAAACTCCGGTGCAGTTTTCCTGAAGAAGCAGCCTTGGAAAGATAAGAGCAGTTCTTGAGAGCCACACATAGATTGTCCAAGCATCCGCAACGAACAAGACTGTAACTAAATATCAATATCCTTACCCTCGCTGTAATAGTCGGATCATTACAGGCTGCCAGTTTTCCTCCAACGATTTGCACTCCAAAGCTGCAACACAAAACATCAACACAATCAGAAGAATTGTTACCTAAAACGTAGTGCATGTGCTCTTGCAGAAGTTCTCAGGAGAGAATACCCACCAAAAGAATCTCTTTAAAACCTCGACAAAGTTCGACGACAACACGTCTGATATGCGGCACAAGGGTGTAGATGCGAAGAGGTCGCATCGCTCGCAGATCATGCCCCGCATCTGAGCCCCATAATAATTTTCTAAACAGTGGCGATTCGCATCCAGAGAAGGATGATCACGCTCGTCTTAAAAGGAAGTTATATCGATATAACGCGTTGAGGAAAGCACAAAATCTGGGCGAAGCCAGTTTGAGAGGTAGTAACCCTGAACTGGTTTTCTAAGAGGGCAACTCCACTCCGCGAATTGTAGGGACGCCACGCCGCTTTTCCCATGCGCTATCGACTACGTCATAGTTTATGTCTGCGTTCGGACGTGCGGTGCGGAAACGAAAGAGCATTTCTTATATAGTTAAATCAACATGCTGAAGCTTTTGAGTCCTTGAATTGGTTCTAGTGGTGGTGCCGCTTGCGACACTGCTTTCGCTCGTTGTCGCAGAGTGGATGTAACTTTCAGCGACGGTCTAGGCAGCGTTCCTACTATGTAGCGCTACAGCTAGCGCTACAGCGTCGCGCTACGAGCGTTAGCGCTAAGCAGGTTGTACCGAACTCCAGCTTTCATGTTTTTTTCTTTCTATATCATCCTCTTCTCTTTGTTTCTCATATTTATCTGATAGTGAGCTCCTGTTTTCTACTTTATCACATTTTGATGTAGTTTTTGATACAGAAGACTGTGATAATGGTTTATTTATCGTTTTGACTGTCATCAATTATTTGTAATAAATGTGATACAAGTAGAAGACAGGAGCTCACTATTAAATAAATATGAGAAAAAAAGAGAAGAGGATTGAATACAGAAAGAATGAATACAGAATCCAATGCCGCTTATCGATTATGGAGCGAAATCTGCTTTTAGAGTTTGCCCCCAATCTCTGCCTGGATACATCAGAAAAAGATTTAATGCCCGCGTTTCGAGGCATTACACCAACAAAGCCTTGACCAGTTTTGTAGCTTTTTGGCGCTAGGCGTAAAAATGGCTCTTATCTCCCACAACAGCACGCGCCAGACTGTCCCTTAAATCACACATCGCATTAAGCACATAGCAACAATAAGTTCCTTTATGGTTCTTCTGTCTCCGCTAAAAAAAAACCATGCGTGCGTGTTTTTAGGTGGCGCGAGTACTCTTTGGGTGTATTTTGCAGAAAATGCTCTAAACTAGACAGAGAGACCCCTGTTACGCGAAAAAGAGCCCAAGAAAAATAGTGACTTAACTGGAAGTAATACTGTCAATCGGAAATGGCGTCAGATAGTTACAGCTGTATCAGTCTCACCTTTCCGTGAATTTCTCAAGAAAACTCCAGCAACCTTCCCACTTTTCTCTGTAAGCAACTCTAATCATCCTAACGTTGGAAATTGCAGTACGTTGCGAAGCGGCGCTGTAGCGCGACGCTGTAGCGCGACGCTGTAGCGCGACGCTGTAGCGCGACGCTGTAGCGCGACGCTGTAGCGCGACGGCTGTAGGCGCTACAATATATAACGGCCGTACGTTGGGGATCTCGCAAGGCGGGTGAAGGAGGGGGGGGCGGGAGGGCCCATCGGTCAGCTGAAGGAAGAGGGCGTATTCAGCTCCGGGAACTTTTTTAGTGTAGTGATTTTTCTTTGCTGGAACGCGATGTATCGCGCTAATTATTTAGGTCTATTTCCATCAAAGTGGCCGAGCGGTTGTTATTCGAATGAACATAAACGGAGAATGGATTTTAAAAAAAGATACTTTGGCTTCGAGTATGAATAATCCCTTGCTTCATCAATCACCCCAGTGCCCCCAAAAGGCTTTGGACCTCGCTCTTGTATCCTGTTCGATTTTTCAACAATGCCGAGTGAAATTGCTGCTGATGCCATAACGGCGAGACTGATAGAAACATTGTAACGTTTGCGCGTCGAAGATACCCTCTGACTGATCAGACAGGTGAATCGCCGGCTTCAGGTTGGGCGAATGGGCGATTGAACCAGGTGTATGTTTGTGCCCAGCACTGCCCTACAATACAGTTACTCGGGGTCTGGCACTATGACGAGCAACGGTGGCCTTCTTGTAGTTGTGTGGTACATCCATTTGTCGATCTGAATGCCGAGGAACAGGCAATATGCACCGACAGTGACGGATTTGTCCTCTGTATAGAGCCGCTTGAAAGCCACAGTGTGGGAATCCTTTGCTATGATGATCATCCACTTGCGCCCACGTAACTCTTCATGGTAGAACTCGGGCGGCTTCTCATCTGCATTCATACAAAATTGACGATTGGAGTTTTCGGCTCGAGTTCGCCAAAGACACCCATGATTCATCTGGGCGGAAGGTGCGATTTCACAGTCGTTGAATTACATCTCATGCTGGAACATTACGCTAGAGCATTAGAATGCGGTACGCGTTCGTGCCTTCTAAAGAAATTTAGGCACCCAATGCACACACTCTTGTACGCACCCTCAGCTTATCGGACATAACTCGGGCAGCAGTTGCAGCTGGGATGTCAGACTCGCGGGGAAGCTCGACAAAGGTCCAGGCTCTGGGATCAGACATTCAGCGCTTGACTTCATCCACCCTTTTTTCTTGTGCAGGATGAACATTATGGGACCATCCACGACAACCATAATTATTTCTGTTTCTTCTCTTGAACTCCTGATCAACCTTCCACCTTTGCATTTTGACATTACACCATTACACACAACTACTGGTCCGGCGCAGGTCAAATTTGAGCAGCGCACTTTCCTCTTATGACGCTTGTGATTTGAAAATCCGGCGCTGATTTTCACCACTCCGGCTTCTTTTCAATTTCTCGAGAACTTCTTCTATGGGTAGTTCGCTAATGATTTTCACAGATAGATTGCCTAAAGGTACAGCCCTCCAAATGTTATAGTAGCCCACTGCTCCCATCCCCTTCTGCATTTTTCCGGCCATTCTCTACAATCCTGGCATTTTTGAAAAAAGGATGTACGCTAATAACACCGTTCGGCAGAACTACAGAGGGGAACGGTTCGATTTTGCTCGATCGCCACCGCTAGTTGGTGGCTCTACTGAAGTTCTATTTAACCACTAGTTTTTATACTTCACCATCGTAGTTAGCGGCCTCCACCACTCCTCCCCTCCCTCGCCCTCCTCCCCCCCCCACCGTTCAACGGCAGTTTTTTTCGGTGAGAAAATGGAACATTTCCTGGAAGACTGGGAAAAATCTGATAGACAGTGGAGGAAAGTCGGTAGGAAGTTAGTGGGAAAAAGAGTCTTAGCAGATGAGGAATTGAGAGGGGTGGGTCGTATTTTCCAGAAAATTTTCCCAGCGGGAGGAAGTGTTTTAGTACCCCTCCCCTCTTTACCTTCTATCACAGAACTTTCTCATGTACTTGTAAACAACTTACGAAATAGATGAAGAAAGTCATTATATCGCCGACATCCTTTACCACGGCTTTTGGTGTGAAAAATAGGCCGTTTGCAATCACCTTCACCATCAGTTCAAACGTCATCGAGACGACATAGAGATACTCGGTGATCTTAAGTGAGCTATCAGTGAACCTTTGAAAGAGTAAGCAGCTAAAAAATCCACAAAGAAAGTCCTCACTTGTAAGTATGGATTGTTGAAAATGAGGTTTTCTCCAGTAGTCGGCCACGGGCTCTCGAATAGCATCGACCAGCATGAAAGGGATGTGACGAGCACCATCGTCCAGTCGAGGTAAGTCATGAGGCCGATGAAGTCACTGAAAATAAACTCGGGAGTGTGATCAATGTGGGCGGAGCCAAATCCCAGATCTACTAGACTGAAGAAGGAACATAACTTACTGTAACTGCTTGTATTTCAGGACGATCTGCTTTCCAGTGACTGGATCTATACGTTCAGGTGAGTACTGCGCGTAGACGATATTCTGGCAAAGAATTCGAAGGCGTGAATCACGTCCAACGGCGAAAAGGGGCCGATCAAACAGTGGGTGATTCTCTCGCATTTCTTCCTCAATTCGATTGCTAAAAACATCCTAGGAGTAATAGCAGGGGTAAGGGCTTGATGCACGGAAGCGTTTGAAAGGCTTTTCAGAGAAATCCACAAAAAATCACTTGCCGTGTGATCTCAGCATGTGCTCGTTTCTGTTGCAACGCCTTGATGTCGATCTCACCCTGTTTGGGATCCTTCTTTGGAGCAGAGTCCGTCGGACGAACGTCACCGTTCTCCTTCAAGCTTTCCATATGAGTCTTGCCCTTCATAGACTGGAATCCACGTGATCGAGAACCCCTAGAACAGGACTAGGTCATGACTGCACACAAGGTTGTATTTTTCAAGACAAGACTGAATCAGTTTTAAGAGACTGTGTTCCTTTGCTGTTCTTGAGAATTCCACGCCCGAGAGGTGGAATGATCTGATTGGTGTCGCAGTAGAGGGCTCTGTTACGATTTGATTCACTGAAATACAGCCTTATAACTTTGTTCATAAATCATTTTTACCGCCACCTCGATAGGATTTCAAAAAAAATGGTGCGAAATCTCCGCCGTCAAATCCAACATCACTATGGGAACTCGTAAAATGGCCTGTGAGGGCACTGGCCAAGGAGAAGGGTAATGTGCGCTCAGCTACAGTCAGAACTTGGGCAAAATAGTGAACACCTCAATTCGATCTCTACTATGAGCTGAGCCACGACTCCCTTTATGCAGTGACTCCGGCTCCGAAATCTGCCTTGGAGCCAAAAACGATGCTGCCGGACGAGTACCGTGAAATGGAACCTTCAATGTCTCTTGTGGACTCATAGGGTTTAATAAAATGAATAGACCGACTGGATTCGTCCCAGTGCGCGCTGTTTTTCGTAATGTATTCGTACAATTGCTGGATGCTGACGGGGTTATATTAAAGGCATTCTCATGATTCCTTTTGCATTTTCTATTCGATGACCAGTCCCTTGGCAACTCCTGTATGTTTTGGCATCGCGCTCCTATCGTGGACCCTGCCCCACTCACCACCTGTCCAGTACACGTCTGTGACTGCATTAGCGCGTTGGCGCCATTGCAGCGGTACTCCTCGCACGTCATCGCAAAGTCTGAACGCTATCTGAGCGTGAAATAGTCCTCGGCCACATACGGACCTTACCAACTGGCCAGTCCCGGTAGCTATACTCTATGGTCCCAATTCGAGCATCCTGGTGCTACCAAAGTACGAAATATTAGAAAATATCGTAGACGTACTCTAGTAATGAAGACACAATGTGACGGCTCGAATTGTGTCCGATATGTCGCATTCGAACTTTCTGCTGAGCTCGAATATTCGCTCCTCTTCGCAATATCGATCGGTTCACAGACGGTTCAACTAAATAATCCTATTACACATGTACTAATTTCCCTTTAAATTCACGATTTTTTCAAACCAAATTCAAGGCTTTCCAAACCAATTCCAAGACTTACAATTAGTTACTTATGCCTCATTGTGTGCGAAATGCCGAAAATGCAAAAAATTCATAAAAGCGGAAGCTATAGCATAAAATTCGAAAAATCACGACCCGGATTTCGGCGCCCGTCAGTAGTGATGTTCTGAATTTATGCCCGCTTTTATGACTTTGCATTTTCGCATTGTCGGACACACAATACCTATCTAGTTTAAAAAAGACAACCGACGCTCACTTTTTTGATGAGTATTTCCACCCAAATTTTTCACTTCATCCTTACCATATGCCACTTACATATACCCACACGTTACTATAAACCTAACTCCTTTGGTCTCAATCGACCTATGCCCAAAACGAAACTCCATAAGACCACATTTGTGCACTTGGCTCTCCGCCCTAGCCACGCCCACTTTTGCAGCTTTTTGCGAAATTTCGATACTTTTTCGAAAATTTTGCATTTTTGGACTGCTACGTGAAGCCCCGCCCGCTGTGCTAGGTCCCCGCCCATCTTTGAGAAATGGTGCAAATCGGCAGGATAGAGTCTCAGCTTGCATGCTAGTGTCTCGCTCGTTACTTGGGAGAAACTTTGCCTGGTTTTTTTTATGAATGAGTAAAAGACATAGACAGGTAAATGCGCCTTGTACACAAGAAATCGCGGTCAATGAAAAATACTTAAATAGCAGCCAAAATTAAATCTCCATTCCGAACCTTCTATGATCACTTCTTTTAATCGTAGATTAGATAATTCTAACTTTGCTTTTTTTGTGCTTACTGCCTGTCTTCACCGATGGATCTAGAGTAGAAATTCGATGGAACGTACTGTCATTCACGCTTTCTAGAGTGTTCCGTTCAGAGTCGTCGGCAAATTGTCTAGTGAATGAATCGCGAATTTTTGGCAGAGGAAATTCGGACGTCACTTTCTTCAATGAAATCATTTGTGGTCTGGTTGGAAAGCGATCGAACACTCGAAGACGCCATGGTAGAGTGGTTTTGATGGTATTCTGAACGATGAACACAATTTCGCCGCAATAAAAACACAGCAAGTTAACAAAGACTTTGGAGGCAAAGTCCACGGTGGTCATATGGGCGGAAATAGTCGACGATTCTGCCTTTCTCATTGGTGCACCCCTCATTTTCGAAAGCAAAAGGCATAGAAGAGGAGCACACCAGTGAGGAAGGTTGCTCAACTGTTGAATGTTCACGCCCATACGATCAGGTAGGTCTGATCCTCAAAAAAAAAAGACGAGCTGCGTT